CTCTGGGCTTATAAACACAGCAGTGGCAGCATGATGCTCTGGGTTTACAGTCCCAGGATTGAATTGTCCATTTATTGCAGAGTCTTGAAGAAGGTCCAACCATAAGCTTGTCTCCTGATGTTTTGGAATGGCCTAGTTAAAGTCTGGACTTAAACCACTCAACATGCTTCCTTCATGCAGTTAAAGGGGTGAACCATAGTTCCTCTGAGGTGCAGAAGTCAGGAATACATCAAATCTTCCTTGATCTCTGAGCACAGAAGCTACACAGCATTAAGCTAAAATCTAATCCTAAGATCTGACAACATTTTCCTCCTAAACACGTTTACTCACTAAGACTGTTGTCGTTTCAAGGGGAAATATCTTTGAAAGTGTGAAAACAAGCTCTAAATCACCCAGGAGTCTTTAGGAGTCCATCGTGTGCCCCCTGGTGGTTGCATGGGGGTATGGCATGGTGGCTCTATAATCTGGTGGAGTCTAATCCACTTCCAATGAGGCTACAGGGAGGTGATCATATTTATTAAGTCCGACATGTCAGAACGTCGGCAAACGGGCCCAACAGGTTCTTGTTAAAGATGCACCTCACCCACACCAGGTAGGTGGTGAAGGGCTTGATGTTCTCAGAGAAGGTGTAGTTCTGCTGAGGAAGGATATAAGGCATGTAGGTGTTTTCTCCCTGCTCCTGGATCCACACCTCGTACTTCACCTCTCTCACCTTTAGGTATTTCAGATTCCAGGGGATCTGCCAGGAAACCGTGAGTTTGGCCTGGTTAGGGGCCTGCACTGACGTCTGACAGTGGGCTTCTCTGACGCGGCCAGGGTGGACTGTGCTGGCCATCTTTGTCTTCTTCAGGTTTGGTTTACTCTTCATGCCGTCTCTGAGGACCTGGAGGAAGGATGGAATGTCTACCAGAGTATCCTGGTAAATCCTGAAAAGCCACTCTGGGTTCCGGCAGCACAGGTGCCTGGGGACGTCCTTACTCTCCAGGATCCGCTGCTGCTCCTCTTTTTCTAAGTGGGCAATGCCCCCTTGCTGCCAGGGTCTGTCTGGGTGGGTGACCGTGTTCTCCTCCATAGAGTTCCTCCAGACAATGTAGTGAAGGTCCATACCTGGAAGGGAGGCCAGGGTCTTATATGGAGTGTACTGCTCTGGGTTCACAGCAAAGGGGAATAGTTCTACTACAGTTGCTCCTCTGGGGAGAAACATTGAGGTGATCAACTGAGCGCCATGCATACTGACCAACATGGAAGCAGCACTGATCACCTGGATGATGCTGGGAAGAGACTGCTCCTCCAGGGACACGGTGACCACCCTCATCTGGAACTCCTGGGCTAAGGCCATTATCAGCTCCGCTTGGTTCAGAATCAACCTTGTTGCTGAGCGACTAAACACAGCGATGTAATCCGCCCTCTCTTCCTCTGGCCGTCCTCCATCCCCCTCTTCCTCCTCCCACCTCGTTATGTTCATTTTCTCCATTAACACTTTGGCAAAATGTCTGATCTCATTTCCTGAAACCAGAATGTTGGCTTTGGGCCCCTGCGGCTGGACGAAGCCATACTGGTACCAGGTGGTCATCTTGGACAATCCAACGTAGGACTTAGTGAAACACAGGAGCTTTCCAAAGTTCCTCAGCTGTTGTTTGAGGAGAGGCTGCTTGCTGCTGAGGAGCCGATAAAGGTCAAAGTGTGGCCCTTCTTCCCAGCCTTCCATGAACACCAGGCGTGCCTCGCTGTCCAGGTCTGAATACTGCTTCATGGTGAAGAAGGCAGGAAGGAGGTCATCGTGGAACACGTGCATGAGGTTATCTGGATTGAACCTGTTCAGGATCAGAGTCACGTCTGGAACAAACACAGGTTTGGCCATGAACTTTAACGTAGCAGCTGGGAGTTCCAGAAAGTTGAAATATTGCGTGTTGTGATCTTCTACTGAGGACAAATCCAGCAGGGCGGGTTGAAAGCGCCTGGATCCAAGATTAGGCAGCATGACAGAGGAGTTGGTGTGGAAAAACACAAACTCCTCCGCCTCCGAGGAGTAGCACAGGTAGTCGAAGCGGCAGATCCGGTCAGTGTGCATCTTTCCGTTGCACACCATGCGGGTGCCATGTTCCTGGAGAGCCTGCAGGGCCAGGTGGTAGTCTATGTGGGCCTGAGAGACCTCCTGTGACTGCTGCGTCATATGCAGCTCCTCCTCTAGTGAGGCCGCATGCTCACACAGCTTGGAGTGCTTCCAAAGGAGAGCCGCGATCACTGACACCAGCAACCCGTTAAGGAGCGCGCCAAAGCCCATCCTGCAGCCTGCCACGGAAGCCCGCATGGATGGTTGCCGAGGCGCCGCGGTCTGTCTGTCGTCAGACCTCCGACGGAGGCAAGGAAGCATGAACTGCAGAGCGAAGACCTAAAGAAGACAGGAGACAAAAGTGATGCAGATAAACAGGTCACACCTCTAAGTCAGCAGCATCCTATCAGCCTTCAACATCTATGGATATAGATCTATTCAGAGCCGGCTCCTGTTTTAATCTAGATGAGAACAGCAGGGACAGTCTATCCTTCAGCAGACCTCCCCCCAGGACATATAGCGGAAGCTTTGTTGTGTTTCCATTTACAATAGAGAGTAAAGTTATTGTTGAATACTTTTAGAAATGTAAATATTGATTTTTTTCTGTTACCGTCAGTCGTAGTGAATGCTATATTTATTTTGTGTCCAACTAAACGGTTTTG